CCCAAAAACCCCCGCCCGGAGGGGGTGGGGGGGGGTTTTGGGGGGTGTGGGCCCCCCCCCGTCTTAAAGTGGCCAAGTTTGAGAAACACTGCTCTAAATCTTGCTTTTCCATTCTTTCCCAGTCTGTGGGAAACCCAAATTTTCCAGAAGCTCGCTGGCCCGTATCATCCAGGGACGCTATGCTCAGAGAGGGATCTCCCCATGGATTGCCATGCTCCAGAGGAACGGACGTCTCTTTTGCGGGGGGTCACTCATAGGTAAGAGCCTTTCAGATTAAGCGACGCCGGCAGAACAGGGAAAAAATACCAGGAAGGGTGCTGAAATGGAGCGATGGCCCCTCTGGCTCTGTTCACACAACACGCTTCCTCAGGTCGGTGGAAGACTGAGAGTCCGTGTAATGTGTGAGTCGGACTAGCGCTAACCCTGGTGAGTTGGGGAAAAGCCTCGCAGCAACCCGCCCGCTCGGTTCCTTTACGATTCAGCATCCTGGGCTGCAAATGGGCTCCGTTCGGCACCCAGGTGAGCGGGGTTATGCAATGGCCCCCCAACCCGGGGAAGAGATGGGCACCCCTGTTCTTCCATCGCAGGCGGAAAATGGCAGAATCTGGATGTGGTCACTGTAAGCTGGATCCTGGAGGTCTGGGTAGGAGAAACAGCAGGGAGCCTTTTGCAAACCCAGTCTGCAACCCCGAATCCCATCGCGGGGAGCACGGTCGCTCTTCCAGAGAAGGGGAAGGGGGCTCCTGACCTTGCGCTTTGTATTTCTAGGCAACCGGTGGGTTGTGACTGCCGCTCATTGCCTTCACGATGACCTGGACCCGGAGAACCCGGTTTTCAGAAACACGCACGTGATCAGCCCGTCCTCCTTCACTATTATCCTGGGTAAGGGATCGCTGCAAAACAAGCCACGTTTGTAGCTCTGCAGGGAGGGGCACCACTTTTGTGAACAAAGCCGCAATTTGCAAATTCAGCTGGCTCCGTCCTGGGAGTTGCTGTTTACAGAAATGCGTCTATCTTCCTAAGTTCCTCTGCCGGTAGAGCAAGAATTCCACTTTTCTGGAATGCGGGGTTACTTTCCTTTCCCGCGGCTGAGTTCTTCGTGCCTTTGTTTCCCCGCCACCGTATCGGTGAGCGGCGCGGCTCCTTCGCTGCCACCACCGCCCCTCCCGTCTCGCTGCGAAAATTCATTTCTCTCTCAGATAGCTCAACGGGCTTCGGGGCTCTTTGCTTCAAGCGCGGCCCAGGTTTTTCCACCTGCGGTCTCATCTCCTGTGCAAAGGCTGCCCCGCTGGAAACGGGGGGTTTCGTCGCTGGGCGCCCCTTTGGCCACGGGGATGACCCGATGGCTGCTCCCCGCAGCGCCACGTTTCCTGTTTGATAGATTCTTCCGAGGGGGGGAAGGAGGGAGGAGAGAAAAAGAAGAGGAAGGGATGGGATGGGATGGGATGGGATG